CCTTTCGTACGTTAATTACCCTTCCTTCCGTACGCCGTTCCTTTCCCTACCGACGTTAATTACCTCGTCTCTACGTACACTACGTGTCTTGTTATAGTCTCTCTCTCTCTTCTCTCTCTCTCTCTCTCTCTCTCTCTCTCTCTCTCTCTCTCTCTCCCTCTTCTTTAATAAACTTTCTCCACTAGTGTCAAGGCATTTCAACAATGGTTTCTGACCCCCTCTGAAAGATACATAAATATATCGGATCCAAGTGTGTTTGGGGTAATACTAGAAGCAAGTGCAGTGGCTATCTCTATCCGTGTCTTATTCTAGCACCCTTTTTTTTGCAAAATTAGATACTGTGCCTTGGTTTGCTCTTCTTTGAATAAGTTAGGTACTCCACTTTTCCCTGTTTTTTTTTGGGTGGCTTGCTACACCTTTTTTGTGATTTTTGTGTAAGTTAGTTACATGAATTTTTCAATTCTTTTATGGCTGAGCTTGTGGGGACGTTTGCACCTTTTCTTTTTTTCTTTTTTGTCGGCTTGCTGCACCTTTAACCTTTTCCCCATTTTTTGGGTAATGGACTTTTCCCAATTCTTTTATGGTAGATTTTGGGGTTACTTCTTTATTCTATCTTGGTTTCAATAGTTAAGGAAATGAGATTGCCATGACACAGATGGTATGGTAAAATTTTTGCAGATTGAGATATACAGTAGGTGTTACAGAGAATTGCCATTAGTGATACAAGGTGCTGGGGCTGGCAATGACACCACAGCAGCTGGGGTCCTGGCTGATATTGTTGACCTTCAAGACCTTTTCCATTGAAATCAACTTGTCGGTGAGTCTGCTGATTCATGTACGCTCGATTTTTCAAAGGGATTTAGGATCTAAAAGACAGTCCGCCCGGTTCTTAGGCGCCCAAGAGACCTCACCCACAGCTAAGCTTGTAGCATCCCATTTTGGGCGGCTGTACTTAGGTGGGCACCCAGTGCCCCAAAAAGGGCAAAGGGGGTAATTTTGACCCCCAATAAACTTTATGGGGGTTATTAACACTTCCATAAACTGTAAATCTCTTAGTTATACCAATTTCTCATAAGGGCAAATGGGGTAATTTTGACCCCAAAAAATTTAAATAGATTATGGGGGTTATTTTCGACTAAAAGAACACTTCTATGAACTGTAAATCTTTTAGTTATACTTATTTTTTAGAATCAAAAGTGTTTTTTGTAGTTTGAATAAACATCCTAAAATTTTCATCTCTTGGAATTATTTTTAGGGTGCTTTTGGAGGTTGGAGAGTTGGAGTCCGTGTTATTATGGAACATGAAGAGTTGGAGACTATTAGACTTTTAACTTTTTTTTAAATTTTTTTGTGATTTGAATTTTGAAGTTTTGAACGGGTGCATTCTTAACATGTGATATGCTTTCATTGGAAAAAAATTGTATTATGCATATATGTGTGTTTAGACAACACATATGATGTATATATCTAAAGAATTTGAACTGCAGGGTGTCTGAGGTTTTGGGCGCTAGACTAGGCGATGGGTGCTAGGCCGGCTGCCTAGCATTTGGAAACCTTGTTAGGACCTGAGATACATCTCAAATCACGTTAAATCCATTTCGGTCTTGAATATATAAGCATGGTGCTCTAGAAATACTGCAATTCTGATGATCTTTAAATAATTAAAATGAACTGTGGGTGAATAAAAATATAATAAAATATTGTTGTTATATTCATAGTCATGGTGGTTTTATGCGTTTCTCTGTATACGTGCATTTGGCACACTAATTTGCATGCTTTTTTTAGTGGGTGAGTTGTAAGGCATCTTGTATTGTTGAAGTAAGACGTACCTCAAAAGTATGTTGAAAGATGCCGTTTTGAGTGTTTGAAAGATGCAGTTTCGGTGTTGGAAAGCTTTTTTGATGACATGAAAATCTATGGTCACTCCTATTTATGAAATTAAAGCTCTAAAGATATGTAGATCGAGCAGACCTATAAATAAATTGAATTTTTTGAAAATAGATGCTCTTGATAAGGGGTTACAAGATGTACATTTTGCATGAGACATTGTTTTTTCCTTTTTTTTTTTTCTCATACCCATATATATTGTGGATGAGATGATCAATTTGAAAGCTTTGGAACAACCTTTTTTTATGAGTTTTTGATGTTGTCGTACTTCAACAGTACAAGTTTTTTTTCCTTTTTGGGGAAGTGTACTTCAATAGTATAAGCTTATACTTTATATAGGTTTTTTCTTTTTCTTTCAATCTTTTTATGTGTTCTGCATGCTACAGTTTAGGGTAGAGTAATGTGGCATTTAGCCAGAGTTATCCTTATGGAGAGGATAGACCTATGGTGCTTAGTTTACTTCAATCCCATTCATTCATTCATCACTTCAATGTGTAATAGTAAATTTGATTGCTGAGGGATATTTTCTTTCAAGCAATTATTCTACATATATTGAGCAATATTCAAGGAGAGGACAATATGGAAACAAAGGCATTAGGGCAGGGTACCTATTAATGGAAGTTTTACAAAAAAAGAGCTTAGACTTAGTCTATTGAGTACTAATAACTTAGGTAACTCGCTATTAATCCAAATTCAATCTCTATCTCTCTTCTTAAGATAAATGCGTAAATTAATAATTAATTGAAATATATGAGAAAATTTAAGTAAAAGAGAATCACCTTTTAATATAGGATAATTGTTTTGTGTGGGCTAGCCTGTTAGCCAACATGACTTGTCCATCTTCCAATCAAAATAGGACTGCAGATAAGTTATGCAGGTTAGCGGGCATACCCACACAAAGAATGTGTCCTTCAATATATAAAATTTTATGCCTCCCCTATTGTATAGAAAATATATTCTCCCCCTTCCATCTAGCTGTCCAATTTACATCAAGTCACTAACTTTTTCATCTAGAGTTGACATCTTAAGAGTGTTTTATTTCTAATTTTCTATATATGAATATGAAATTTTGTATGTGCCTCATCTCAATGGGAAGCATCTCAAAAGAATATTGTTATTATTTTGATAAAATATAATGATCGAAATACCTTAAAAACTTTCAAGGGTATTTTGGTTAGTTTATTTTTTATTTTTTATTTTTTTATTTTTGTATTTTTATTTTTACGGCTATGAGTTTAAGAGAAGAGTGAATGTCCAAAATTTGGTTTCAAAATGTTTTGTAAAAAAAAATTAAAAATAAAATAGTGTAAAGATGTGAGATTGTGATTAGGCCCATCTCAACTATTCATTCAAAATGGATTGTTGGATAAGGGGAAATTTGTAAGTTTTATTCGGTAGGGGAAGTATAGAAAGCTTGGCCTAAAGTTTAACTTCCAAATTTGATGTACGTACACGTGTTGAGAGAATGTTCTTGTTATTGCAGAGAGAGAGAGAGAGAGAGAGAGAGTACATTATAAGCTACGTTTTGTATTGATATAGGTGAACTTTTTTTTGATAATAAGGCGGTCATCGAGGTGGTAGTTGTTACAACATGATGTATTGCATTCCATTCTCACTTAATAATAATTTGGCGTAAAACTAGGAAAAGCAAAAAAACAAAAAACGAAATATTTTTCTCCTTTTGCAATTATTTGATGTGTTTTGCATGATTTAAATCAATGTTGTCAAATTTGTTTTGGATGAGAAAAATGAAGCAAGTCGGTGCTTCAGCTGATTCAGGAGAAGATATAGGAATTTTTTTTTTAAAATTTAACATAAATATTCTAGATATTTATATATAAAAATAATAAAAAAAAAAGAAAGAAAAGAGAAGCCTTTTTGTTCTCCTTTTGCAATAGTTCAATGTATTTTGCATGATCTAAAGAGATGGGAGCTTTTAGGCGATCAAACGCATGCCTCCTAGCTTTTATGGGTACGGAGATGGAAGTATGTGACTTTGTATTGTCTGGGTAGCATGTGACATGAGCATTTATATAAGTTTTGTGTGCATTAAGGACATGATATGATATTTGTGTTGGACACTTATGACAATTTGGTTCTTTGAAATCTCTTTATAAAAATATATAAATCTTATCTAAGGTCTTACCTCATCTGTATTTTTGTATATTTGGGTCTTAGGTCCCCATGGAGGATTATTTCAGAACACGGTAGATAACTCTCTTTATTGATTTAGTAAAGAATATACAAGACCCGTATAAACATATTGTTAACAACAATTCTGGATAGATACCAACCGTTATTGATACTTACTAACTAATCTTAGACACTTAATCTTATCAAGAGATATATACCCATAAAGATACATATCATTACTGATATGTTTCAGTAATGATGTATATCAATACTAATATGAGATATCCATACTCTAACCTTGTTTAAATGGCCTATATATATGTCATGTCACAGTGATTTCAAATATATATATATATATGGGTAAAGATCATGTCAGCCCAATGGTTTATTGCTATAGTAAATGCTAACGGCTCAGATTGAATCTGAGTTGATCCTAGACATTCGGTAGTGTTTAAATTTTAATTTTTTTTTACAAATCGGAATGATTTGAAATTTGGAGAGTGTGTACATAAAAAATAGATGAATTTTTTAAAATATAAAAAAAAATATTTTACATGAAAATTTACCAAAATACCCCTATAAAGTTTCAGGGGTATTTTGGTCAATTTTTTGTCGATTATTTATATATATATTTTTATTAGGTGCGACTTGATGATAAGAACATACATCTAAAATTTCAAGTAATTTGGATTTATAGAAAAAAAAATTAAAATACGAAAAGAGATCGTGACCGTCAGATCGGTTCAGATTCAATTTGAATCATTGGCGTTTACACTAGCAGTTAGCTAGTGGCGTATTGAATCCACTCCTTCTCTCTCTCTCTCTCTCTCTCTCTCTATATATATATATATATATATATACCAATGTTGAGATTAATGTTTTTGCATTTGTGTTATATAATGAGCACGGTTATGATAAATTAGGTGAGCTTGATAAATTAATATTATGTAAAGAAACTGGTTTTAGTACGAGTACAGTATCTGTTAGGAGGTGCAAGTTAGTTTAAGTGGAAGGTTAGAAAAGGATAAAGGGTATGTTCAAAATGATATCATTGAAAGTAGTGAGAAAAGATATGAGGATTTATGACTTCATTGAGAGTATGACATTTAATAGAGCAGCATGGTGGATCAGGATTCGTGTAATCGACCCCAATTACAAAAGACTTTGATGAATGATTTTCTTGTAACATAAATACCGAATGTGGTTTAGGTAATGCACTACGGTCAATCTTATAGGTAACTTCTCCCTAAAAGCTTATGTAATAAAATTTGGCAAAACACATATGGCGCTTGCTAGAGCCATTGCTTCTACATGAATTACAGAACTTCTCAGGCCCATAAAATTTTGGTATTCATTCTTATTTTTATTCAACAACATTAGCGTATACATTCTAATAGGCATATTACTTGTTTCTGGCCAAGCTGATAATTAAGGAAAATTGTTTCATGCGTTGCTTCCCGCATTTCTACATTTGCCCCTCTGCATTATAAAGCATCGATATTAAAACAATTGAAACTAATAGTTCAAATGTTTTTTTCATAAAATTTTTATTTTTATTTTTTAAAATTTATTTATTTATTAATATTCATTATCTCCATATTAGAGATTACATGTCCTTAAAAATTGGGTTCGAAAATCTATTTCAAAAATAAAATTTTAAGAGTGAACTCATTTCTACATGGACTTATAAACACCATGTCCTATAATTAATGCTCTTTGTCGAACTTTGTTTTTTTTTTTTCCTTTCTTTTGACTCATTAATGTTTGCTTTCTTTAATCCACTGATTTTTTGTACAATTGATTTTTGAGACTTATTCCAACTATTTGAAGTTTATTTGCGTATTGCTCTTGCCTAGTCCATTTTGTCATGCATTCTTCAATTGGTCCTGTAAAGGTCATAATACATTTTTCCATGTTCTTCGACACGTACAAGCACATGCATTTGTGTTTTGTGATTTTCATGCTTGCTACTTTGCATTAATGTAGTGGTGGTCCACTACATTTGCATTGTTCTCTGATCTACACATATATTTAGAGAGGGAAAGTATGGTGTGATTACTTTATCTTTAAAAAAAAAAAGAGGAAAACAAAGAAAAGATAATGTTACAACTGTCAGTAGGAGAGCAGGTGGGTCGGGCTAGAGCCTGGGCACTACATGCCCGTTTCAGTCTGGATTGGGCCAAAGGGATCTGGCATCGGCCTTCACTTGGCTAGGTGGCCCGGCTCGGCCCTGGAGTTAGATTGTGATATAAATGTTAGATATAAACTTTTTGATATTCATAAAGCATGACAAAAAAAGTTCTGGGCAAGGCTGGTCTAGGAGATGACTCTGGCCCCGCCTGAATTGGGACTAAATTTTAGACTCGGGCCGTGCCCTTGAGGCAAATTTAGTGTCCCAGCCCTATGTTGTTTTGGGTTGGGCTGAGCCTTCTAGCTTATCGCGACCCTTAGATATCAAATCTGATTCAATAACTGTACTTTCAGTTAGAAAAAATTTCCAAACTTTGTTAGAAAGTTGTTTGGAACTTCGATACAGTAGCAGTCCATTTACATCTAATGAGCTTGGGTATTTGTAAATTTTGCATATTGAAAGGTAGAGAGAGAGTATAGCAATAATTTGGCTTCTTCAAATAATTGAATTCAGGGAATTCGGGAGATAGGATTGGCAAAGGCGGGGTCTGGCTGGGCCAGGACACACCTCAGCCTGGCCCTAGTCGATATAGGGTCGGCCCGAGTTTGGACCAGGCTGAAGGGGCAACCTTGGCCTTGTCGACTAGGCCAAATTGAATAAGAGAAAAAAAAAAGAAAAAAGAAAAAAAAAAGGGATAAAAAAAGGGATCGGGCAGGTCTAGCTCTTTTTTCTAGGCATATCAGTGGGAAATATGGGCCTCTACCTATTTTTAGAAATAATTAGTGGTAAGTCAGTGGGGATTTAAACCCCCTACTATTTGAAAAGAATGGAGTCAGATACCTCACCATGGGGTTTAGCAATACTACCACCAAGACCCTCAGGCCATTCTCTAAGCATGTCTCGCTCTGTCCATCTAGTTTTTCCCATAGTATAGGACCCAAGGAAAGTTTCCATTTGATGCCTCACTTAGATGCCACCCCAAAATACACTATGGCTAGGGGTGGCAATGGAAGCGATCTCACTTGAGACTCGATGACTAGACCTGACCTTGGGTCCAGGTATAGGTCCAAATTTTTTACCCGAAAAATCGGGTCAGGGTCCAAAACCCAGACCGGACCCGTTGCCACCCCTAAGTTTGGCTATGTTAGGGTGACCTTCTACGTGAGGAATTATATGGATTCATGATCCAATGGGAGCTATTTAAAAAACCCCAATTTGCGATCCACAAATGGAGGGGTATTTCAAATTTATGTCAGTATAATTTGGTCCATAAATGAGTTAATGTTGTAGGGGTTCAAATTGGCTAAACCAGGTCAAATTCCATCAATTGCATGTGTTTTTGAGTGAGAGGTGCACCTCATAAATCATCATTAGATAGTTTATATATTTGGAACTTACCAATCAATCATCTCAATTTCGGGATGTATGGATATGCAAATAAAAGGGTTTAATGCTCAAAAAAAATTGTACATCTCGTAATCCGTTTTCAAGTGTTTATTGATATGTTCGATTTGGACTACTTTTGAACCTTTAAATTTCATAATAAGGGATGACAATGTATATCTAGGTTATCATTGGGATTTTTGGCCTTGGAACTGCATCTTTTGGTAGAATTTGACTGTACACCTTTGATGCCTTAGTGTAGCTTCAACAATAGGATTTAATATGGTTATAATGTTGTGATTCATCAACTTAACTAATCGAGCCCACTATGGAATATCAAATAAGTAGAATTTCATCCTCTAACTTAGATTCAAAATTTATGAAAATTTTTGACGGAGTAGAGCTTCATGGATTTATGGATGTTTGGTGCAATTGTACAATATATGTAGGTCAACATGCATCATCATCATGTTTTCCAAGACAACTATTTAACGGTATCTTCGCATGCATGTATGTAGTTGTCTGATTGATTTTCCTTTTGTGAATTAAGGTAAGTGAAGGTCACACTTGGATTCCACCAGTTTTGGCCTTTTTATTTTTTTTTATTTTGTCTTCTAACTTTAACTGAGTCTTTTGCGAAAAGATAGTTTATTTAAGTGTGAGGCTCTAAACAATCCAATTAGGGTGCACATTAAAAATTTCACTGGAAGGTGTTGTTTTGATGTCTAAATATCTTCAAATTGATCATCTCGACCTCAAGATGTATGGACATGAGAAAGAAATAGATTTCAAGTTTTGAAACTACATGTCTTGATACTATTTGAAGGTACGCTCTACTTTGATTCTTTAGAGCCTTGGCTCCATACAAACCATACCCTTTGCCAAAAGTTTCCATTTCACTAATATTTAAGTGCCAAAAACTCATTTATGGCATCATAAAGAAAAAGGCATACAAGCTCACATTTAACAAAGACTAATTCATTTTAGTACAAAGAGGCGACAACCAACTCGATTAGATGTGTAATCAAGTAGTTGGAGATGTGTTATCAATTATGCCTAACATCCAAAAAAAAAACTGTTAGAGAAACTTTATGATATCATCATATCACGATCCATTGGCTGAATGGATCATGATATTATTTCCTATCTAGCAATTGCAATTAATTCGCCTGATACAGAACTAACACTTTTAAGTCACCACTAAATATCAATATACATAATTTACAAAGATAAAACAAAAAAAGTTACAATTGACTGTTTGTAAGACGAGAAAAAGCTCACAATCATTCTTAACTGTTTAGATTTGATACCGACATAATTCAACTGCTCGCAATCAAAAAAACATTTCCTGTACAACGTGAAAAAACAAAACTAACACTTTTGAGTTACCACTAAATATCGATATACATAATTTACAAAGATAAAACAAAAAAAGTTACAATCTGATAAGATGAAAAAAAGTTCACAATCATTCTCAACTGTTTAAATTTGATACCGACATAATTCAACTGCTTGCAACCAAAAAAGCATTTCTTGTTCAGCATGAGAAATTGACACACTGCAACTATCGAATTTCATGTATGCCCTGGTCTTATTGCATAATCCTAAAATAAAATCATCATGATTTGTTTTGATTAGCTCTCATTCTAGCTCCCCAAGAAGATTTTTTCTGGTCGGACCGGAGCCCCAATTCCTCCAACTGCCCTTCCCAATTCCCATAATACCTCATCCTGTCCCCCCTGTTTCTCTGCCTACACAAGAACCCATCCCCAAAATTGCTGTGGGCAATTTGGTAATTCTCCAGGTTAAGGTCATACTGCTCCCTTAACACAGGGTCGGATAAGACCCTGTAGGCCTCCTGAACCCTGATGAATTGCTCTGTGCAGTGCCGACGGTTCTGGGAGCGACACGTGTCGGGATGCCATTGGAGCGCAGCCCGCCTGTATGCCGCCTTGATCTCCTCCAAGCCTGCTGTGTCAGGTATGGATAGCCGTTGGTACATGGTGGTGGTGTCATGAGCCTGAGGTGCGGTTGTGAGCCTGGCTCCGAGCCTTAGCCTTCGGGGCTTGGGGGAAACCACTGATTTGGGCTTGGTTGGGACCAACAGTGGTTTTGAAGTTGGAAGTATGGAGGAGGCCGGGTGGTACTGCCTGCGCATAGTGGAATTTAGAGAGAGAGAGAGAACTTTGCAACAACTGAAGAAGAGAGAGAGAGAGATTTGTAGAAACTAAAGAAGAGAGAGAGATTTGTAGAAACTAAAGAAGAGAGATTTGTAGAAACTAAAGAAGAGAGAGATTTGTAGAAACTAAAGAAGAGAGAGAGAGATTTGTAGAAACTAAAGAAGAGAGAGAATTTTGCAGCAACTAAAGAAGAGAGAGAGATTTGTAGAAACTAAAGAAGAGAGAGAGATTTGTAGAAACTAAAGAAGAGAGAGAGAGATTTGCAGAAAGTAAAGAAGAGAGAGAGATATTTGTAGAAACTAAAGAAGAGAGAGAATTTTGCAGCAACTAAAGAAGAGAGAGAGTATGGTTGTATGAGAGAGATAGAAAGATGGTTTTGCAAGAGAAGCGAGAGAGAGTATGGTTGTGGGAGAAATGGAAAGATGGTTTTGCAGAGAGGGAGAGTGGTTTTGGAGATGGCAGTTCTTGGACCCTTATATAGGGCCTGTTTGTGCATGTGGGGTGGTCCACCTAACTTTGAAGTGGCCCTTTCTCTTTATAAAAAGTAGGGTTACAGTTGATATACGGATGTATTGTAGATTTAGACGTTACGTGCGCGTATATAATTTTGAAGTAAAATGTTTTTAGGATTATTTTAAAATCTATTTTTATATCTAATTATAAAATTTTAAATTTTAAAAATAATTAAAATCAAGTAGATCTGAAAATCTTGTAAATGAATAGTGTAGATAATATGTTGTGAAATGCATTATTTTTTAGATTTAAATTTTTTTTATTTTTCAGTCATATATCTCAATGCCGATGAACGAAAAAGGTTTTCAACATTAAAACGATCTTTTCCTATGGATGGATTTTTGAGAGGCATATGTAGTTTTTCATTATAAGGTAGAATCGTTACATAAACTTTTTTCGAAAAAGTAGAGAGAGAAAGACACAGAAAGAGAGAGAGAGAGAGAGAGGCGTGCATTCCAGTTAAGGTCATTGTCCCCTGATTAGATTAGGGTTTGCTTTCATGTAGGTAGAGAGATCTGTGAAAAAAGAGGTTTTGTATGAGGAGTGAGGTGACACCCATGGTTTCATATTTTTTTCTTATTTGAGCTCATCTAGAAGGGGCTTCCTAGCTGATGGCTTTTATCCAAAAAGGCCAGCTTGCGTTTGTGACTTTTACAGAGAGGACTTTTCATGACCTTTTCTTTGTCATTTTTTTACAGTAAAAATATTATTTTTTTCTCTTTCGTTTTTTGAGATTAGACATGACATCAATGCGTGGGGCCAGAGTCTGCATGCTTGCTCCCCAATTCTATCTCAAGGGGTGTCAAATCGGCCTGGTCGACTTGCTGCTCGGTAGGCAGACCTGATTTGGATTTGGTTTGGACCAGTTTTAGTAAAATTGGATGGTTGAAATCAGAATTGCCCCGTTAGATCGGATCCGGTCATTGACTAATTTATGGTAGGATATTTTAGAAAAAATTTTAAAAAATTATTTAAAATCTCAAATATAAGAGATTTGTTTGTAATGTGTTTTTGAATATTTTGCATAATTTTGATAAAGATTAGAAAGTATTTTGGCTATTAATACTTATTTTTACATTTTTGTATCTTTTTTAAAAGATTTCAAAAACACCTCTAGGCACAAATCGATTTTATAAAAGAAAATGGTTTTGTAGGGTCGTAGCCCTATCAAATCAAAATAAGTAAAGCCCCATTTCATAACTCATCCAAAATTACAATTCAAGCATTAGATAATCTTTACATCATTCACCTTGGCTTGAACTTTTTGGTTGTGAAAAACAAATAGGATTTCAAACTCTAAAAATATGGTTATTATAACAAATTATCTAGACGGTCCATTTTGCCCTAAAATTAAGTGTTTATAGATCCAAAAGATCTGTAGCATTTTATGAGTTTCGAATTTCATTGTCGGTGTTGAAAATTGAGTTCAGAGCCATCATGGAGATTTCTATTGCCAAAAGTACTTTTTGGATGATGATTTGAGGTGAAACTTATTTTGTTTCCATAGAGCCTAGGCTTTTATAGAAGTCTCATCTTTTTTAAAAAAATCCATTTTTTCACAAATTTTTAACTTCATTTGGATGTACTTTATTCAAATTCTTTAACTATACTTTTCTTATTTTTTTTATGTTTATTTTAATTTTTCAACACTTTTTTGACCGCCTGGGACTTGTCTGGTTTGGTCGGTTGAATCGGCCAGTTTATCGATTACGCGGAACAAGGTCGTGGCCAGTTTTTTAGGCCGGTTCGATTTTTCGAACATTGGTTTAGACTAGACCCATAGATCTGAAGGGCAAGTCAAGGTCCATATGGCTTAACGTCGATATTAGTTGGATCTGGATCTAGCTCTAGTGTGGACCTTCTCGTCAGGTCCTACATGAGATTGACCTGATCTGGGTCTTCCAGTTGAATCTATTCCTGATCTGAGCTTACCTTACCTAATCCAACCCATTTACATACAAATAGCTCAGGTAATTTAGTTTGAATAACAAATAGCTATGGTGAAAATGGAAGCTTAAACCTTAGTTGGGGCTAAACTATGTTACCACCACAAACCCAACCCTACTTTATTGAGGGAATGGTCCAATCTTTTCCATAATATTGACACCTAAAAGCCAAAAGGCGCCCTCTGTAGAGCCCCTTTTTTGACCATGGGCACATATTATGCTTGCTCCTGGCTTCCTTTACTTTCTTTGTCCAGTACTCTCTGTTTGTCTTGAATTCTATTAATGAAAAGTCATTCAAGACTCAGACTCAGCGTGTGCAAGAGCCCACTGACTCATTAGCGTTCATCCCTAAGATGGACGTTGTGAAAAAACTCTGAGGGCAAAAACAAATTTAGACAGTATAGAAAATTTTCATAAAACATCACATTTTGAAAATTAATTTTTTTTATATTCATAATAATCTTAATGTAAATCATCAATCCATATAATTTTAGATTAAAAATCCATTTTTAATATAAGTTTAAGTGGGAGCCCGCATATGCACAACATAAGTCAACTGACTCATAGAAAACCCATCCTTGTATTAAGGATATTTATTTTATGAATGTGCATAAAATAAACTTTATAGTTTATGGTAACAACTTTATATAAACTTTTTCCTTTACCTAATATTTTTGAGGAAGATTTAGATATGTGCCTTACTTTGTTTTGTTTAAGAGGGGTGGGGCCTCCAAGGTGGGCGTGGTGGCTAACCTGCGTAATCTTTTCTATCTTGGAATTGACTGCTCAAGACCAAGATGTATTTAGTTGGCCCCGTGTTCAAGAAGTTTAAAGCTCAATTTTGATGGTAGTTCCTTAGGCAACCCATGAATAGCAGGAGTTGGAGGTGTGATGTGTGATTGCTTTGGTGATGTTCTTTTTAACTATGTCGGTCTGATAGGTTCTGCTACGGTAAATTTTGCAGAATTGAGTGCTCTGCTTTGTGGTTTGAAGATTTTCACTACTAGAAATATGAGATGTAGTTGTACGTTTGACGGAGATTCTTTGAATGTTGTTAGATGATGCAATACGGAACAGAAAGTACTTTGGGAACTTCGGTCTTTATGGTTGCAGGTGATAGAGATTAGAGCTACTGTTTCGGTCTTCCTTTTTCATATTTATTGTGAGGTCAATAGTATTGTTGATTTGTTAGCGAATGGTGGGGCTTCTACCCTTTCTCTAGTTATATCTGATGATGTAATTTCTTTTTCATAGTTATCAATAAAAATTGTACCATTGGTCAAAAAAAAAAAAAAAAAGTTGGGTTGTGTTGCTTCTGCTAAAAGGGCTACAGCTGAAGACTTCGCCAAATTCGGTCACAATAAAGCAAATCCTGTAAGAATTAGGGGTGAGAATGGGCCAGGTCGGGGCCAGATCCAACCAAATTTTGATCCAGACTCGAAAAGTATACATTAGATTCGGATCTGAATCTGAATAGTATACATCGAATCCTTATCCGGATTGTTCTATATATATATATATATATATATATGAAAAAGCTGGGATTAGCCCACTAGCTCATATAAACATATAAGCCCAACGGTCAAGGTTGAATCTGGGCTGATCTGACGATCACAGATGTTCGGTAGTGTTTGAATTTTAATTTTTTTTTCTACAAATTCAAATCAATTGAAATTTTAGGAGTATGTTCATAAAAAATAGTTGAATATTCGAAAAATATCAAAAAAATATTTTACATGAAATAAAAGGACCAAAATACCCCACAAAAATTTCAAAGGTATTTTGGTCATTTTATTTTTGCAAATAATTTTTTTTATATTATATATAAAATAAACATTTACTATTTTGAAAAAAAGGGGGTTGGATCCAGATTAGATCCACCTGCACCTGGATCCAAACCAAATTTCAATTTTGTCCAGGTCAATTTTCCCCCTAAAATGGTTCAAGAGAGAGAGAGAGAGAGAGAGAGAGG